GGATGTGAGTGTCGCTGGCTGGGCCCAGCATTTCTTGCCCATCACTAGTTGCCCCTTGAGAAGGTGGTGGTGAGCTGCCTTCTTGAACCGCTGCAGTCCTCCTGCTGTGAGTTGACCCACAATGCTATTAGGGAGGGAATTCCAGGATTTTTACCCAGTGACAGTGAAGGAACGGCGATATATTTCCAAGTCAGGATGGTGAGTGACTTGGAGAGGAACTTGTAGGTGATGGTGTTCCCATATATCTGCTGCCTTTGTCCTTCTAGATGGAAGTGGTCATGGGTTTGGAAGGTGCTATCTGAGGATCTTTGGTGAATTTCTGCAGTGCATCTTGTAGATAGTACGCACTGCTGCTACTGAGTGTAAGTGGTGGAGGGAGTGGACGCTTGTGGATGTGGTGCCAATCAATTGGGGCTGCTTTGTCCTGGATGGTGTTAAGCTTCTTGAGTCTTGTTGGGGCTGCCCCCATCCAGGCAAGTGGGAAGTATTCCATCACACTCCTAACTTGGTCAGAAATCACACAACACCAGGTTATAGTCCAACAGGTTTATTTGAAAACACAAACATTTGGAGCGTTTCTCCATCTCCGGGTGTTAGTGAGAGGGGTGGTATCAGACACAGAATTTATAGGTAAAAGATCAAGGGGTCACACCATTGATGAGGATGTATTAAACAAACCTAACATGCTATTAAATCTATAATGGGTTAGAAGGTTTTAATTGATTAATATGTATATGTAAATCCCCAAAGTCCTTTCAAGTCACTGTCCTGAGAGAACTAAAGGTTTTATCAGTGTAAAGAAGAGGTGACGTTTTAGGTCACACAATGCATGTTAGGTGTGAGGCCTTGTTTAGAATCTGTTTGTGTTTTAGTTTGTGGTCAGACTGGTTTTATTTCTAAAGTGGGAATTTATAAAACACCACATTGACTGACTGTCTATAAAACGGTTGCTTTTTGAACAACGTAAAATGTAAATGCAAATACAAATTCACGCCATAGATTCAAGCGTGTGTGCACGCATGTGTGTGCGCGCATGTATGTGTGCGTGTGTGTGTGCGTGTGTGTGCGCATGTGCGCGCGTGTGTGAGAGAGAGAGTGTGTGCGCGTGAGAGAGTGCGTGTGTGCATGTGTGCGCGTGTGTGTGTGAGTGTGTGTGTGTGAGAGAATGTGTGAGAGCGTGTGAGTGAGTGTGCGTGCATGTGAGTGAGTATGCGCGTGAGTGTGTGCGTGTCCGTGTGCGTGAGTGTGTGTGTGCGCGCGCGTGTATGTGTGCGCGCGTGAGAGTGTGTGCACGAGAGTGTGCGCGCGAGAGTGAGTGTGCGCGCAAGAGTGTGAGAGTGTGTGCGTGTGTGAGAGTGTGTGCACTTGTGAGAGTGTGTGTGCGTGTCCGTGTGCATGAGTGTGTGTATGTGTGTGCGCGTGTATGTGCGCGCGGCGCGAGTGTGTGTGAGAGAGTGTGTGCGAGTGAGAGAGTGCATGTGTGAGTGTGCGCGCGTGAGTGTGTGTGAGTAAACAGATCATTGTTTGCGGTAAACTTCCCAGCTCACCACTATATTTATGTGGTGAGTCCAGTTGAGTTGCAGGTCAATGGTAACCCCCAGGATGTTGATAGTGGGGGACTCAGTGATGGTAACACCATTGAATGTCAAGGGGTGGTGGTTAGATTGTCTCTTATTGATGATGGTCATAGCCTGGCATTTGTGTGGCGTGAATGTCACTTGCCACTTGTCACTCCAAGCCTGGATATTGTCCAGATCTTGTTACATTTGAACATGGACAGCTTCAGTATCTGAGGAGTCACGAATGGTGCTGAACATTGTGCAATGATCAGTGAACATCCCCACTTCTGACCTTATGATGGAGGAAGGTCATTGATGAAGCAGTTAAAGATGGTTGGACCAAGGACACTGCCCTGAGGAACTCCTGTAGAAATGTCCTGGAGCTGAGATGATTGACCTCCAACAACCTCCACCATCTTCCTATGTGTCAGGTATGACTCCAACCACCGGAGCATTTGCACCCTGATGCCCATTGATTCCAGTTTTGCCAGGGCTCCTTGATGCCACACTCAGTTAAATGTAGCCTTGATATCAAGGGCTGTCACTCTCACCTCACCCTCTGGAATTCAGCTCTTTTGTCCATGTTTGAACCAAGGCTGTAATGAGGTCAGGAGCTGAGTGGCCCTGGCAGAACCCAAACTGGGCGTCACTGAGCAGGTTATTTCTGAGCAGGTGCTGCTTGATAGGACTGTTACTGACACCTTCCATCATTTTACTGATGATCGAGAGGAGACTGATGGGGCAGTAATTGGCCGGGTTGGATTTGTCCTGCTTTTTATGTACAGGACATACCTGGACAATTTTCTACATTGCCGGGTAGATACTAGTATTGTAACTGTATTGGAACAGCTTGGCTAGGGGAGCGGTAAGTTCTGGAGGACAAGTGTTTAGTCCTATTGCTGGGATATTGTCAGGGCCCGGAGCCTTTGCAGTATCCAGTATCTCCAACTGTTTCTTGATATCATGTGGAGTGAATCGAATTGGCTGAAGACTGGTATCTGTGAAGCTGGGGACCACTGGAGGAGGCCAGTGGTTATTAATTAGCCCATTTTCATTACAAATACAAATGTGAAATAACATTTCCTCCAGTCGACTCCACAATTCACTCCATAAGGTACCAGCCCTCACTCCAGAATCTCACCCTCCACAGGTTGTGTTGTTTTACCCAGTCTAGGTGTTGAGTAAAGGCACCCATGATAATTGTGTTGCCCATGCCCAGCGGTTCTCTCCTCTCCTGATTAATGCCATGCCCCACACCGTCACACTAGCTGGTGACTTGTAAATAACTCCCCCATTGTCTGCTGCGTCCTCGCTGTTTCTAAGATCCACACAAACAGACTCCAAACATTGTTCTCCTGATTGGGGAGTTCCCTTTCTGATGGACTGGGCCTGTGTTGTTTTATCTGCTGAATATCGGGCAGCTCAGCACCCAGCTTTGACTCTTCCTGCCCCACACTGGGGGCTATTTACCTCCCGAATGAGCCAGAGACGGGTATTGAAGGAAATGGAAATGGGCGACACAGCTGGTACTGTTGGAACAGGTGGGGAGGGGTCCCGAGTGGGCAGCACCAACAACAGGCTGGTGTGGTGATATTGGGGAATGGGATGGGGGAGAGTGAGAGTGGGAGAGGATGAGCCCAGTGCAGTAGCAGAGACAGAGTCAGTGTGATATATTGTAGAGAGAACGGTGACACTAACACTTACGGAGTGGGAAATGGTATTGATCTGTCTCCTACCTCCCTGGGCATTTACCCAATGGCTGAATCTGCACTGACCGACAGTGGGGCATGTGGGATCTCGGAGCATGATGACCAGGGGCTGGTGGCATGGCCTGGAATGTAGAAGAATGAGGGGGATCTCATAGAAACCTCAAAACTGCCAACAGGACTGTGAACCCAGGAAGGATGTTCCCAATGGTGGGGGAACCCAGAGCCCAGGGCCTTAAGGATAATGGATATACCATTTCAGACTGAGACAGCGGTGAGCTTTTGGGAATCATTGCCACAGAAAGTGCTTGAGGCTGAAACATTGTGTTTTTGATGAGAAGGCAGATCTTGCTCCTTGTGGATAAAGGGATCAGAGGATGGGGGGGCAAGAGTGGGATTAGGCTATTGAGCTTGATGATCAGCCATGATCATACAGAATGCTGTAGCAGGCTTGAGGGGCAGAATAGTCCCTTCTTTGCTGGTCCTGTGGGATGGGAACACACCATCTACGTCCTACCCCATCCAACAGGACCCCCATATCAGGCCTGTCAAACGGGGAGCTAACATTCCCTCTGTCTGCCAGGTCAGGACAAACATCAGGAACCATGCACGCTGGCAGCCCCACACTGGCAGTGCTTTCCCTGGTGCACAGCAGCCTTATAAAGATGGTGCTGGTGCCAGGGATCCCTGCTATTCCGGGATTTCCCTGCAGGCACGGGTATCAAGGAGAATGGCACCATTGGGCTGTGTTAGTGGTTAATGGGGCAACTTTGGGACGGTACAGTGCAGCACGATCTGACTGGGCCCCACGGGAAAAACCCCTTCAACTAAAATACCAGATGATTGCACCCCTTTAATTTGCCTTTTCGTGTTTGCGAAATAAACTTCTGTTTTTAAAGAAACTCTTCTGTTTCAGTAACTGAACATTGGTGTTAACCAAACTGCTTCAAAGAAATGGTGATCAACATGGTTTGTATTCTGGGATCAGAACAACATACCGTCAGACCTGCATGGAGGGGCACGCATACATTTCAGCTCACAGCGATGGGATCAGCACGAGGGGGTGGGGTTTTCATGGTGGGGAAGGGTTGGCTCGGGAGGGGGGTGCGGGCATGGGGTTGGCATATAGTGACGGGGTCTGAACACCAAGCTGGGTATTGACACCGTGCTCTTGCTGCATGTAACCCTCAGACACTCACGGAGCTGGAGAGAACGTGGGGGAACGTGGGATCGGACTTGTCCTGTAATAACATCAGCTGGCAGAGTCTTACCAACCCCTGGGAGCATGTGGGACTGGAACTTGGGTCTCCTGGCTCAGAGATAGGGACATTACCCACAGTGCCACCACATCCTCAGCAGCTGGGGCTAACCACACTATGGAATTGTATTCAGATTGTGAGAGCAAACTAGAGACTCCGTTCTGACACTGTGGTAGTATCCATACCTCTGAACCAGGAGACCAGTGGTCCAGCACCACCTGCTGCAGATGTGCACCCTGACACTGCTAACCAGATTGATTTGAATAAAAATCTCTGCTCGTGGATAAAGGAGCAGATTATTGTATTTTAGAGCTTGAGAATGAAACATTATAATCCAATCCTACATTGATTCCTGATTAGATTTCACAGACAGGCCAACAGTGCTGTGGTGTTTAACTATCACAACATTCAGCTTTTCTTTTTATACTTTATTTAGAATGCAACAAAACATCAATTAATATATTACTTTACTGCTACAAAAAAATCAGGTTCATTAGTCTACACCATGTGTACAGTACTGTGTGGCCTGGGCATAGCCAGAACTGTGTGCCCCGGGTATACCCAGCACAGTGTACCCCAGGTATACCCAGTACTGTGTAATCCCAGTATACCCAGCACAGTGTGCCCCCGGTATACACAGTACAGTGTACCCCCAGTATACTCAGCAGGGTGCCCCTGGTATACCCAGCACAGAGTGCCCTGGGTATACCCAGTACAGTCTACCCCCAGTATACCCTGTACAGTGTACCCCCAGTATACCCAGTACAGTGTGCCCCAGGTATACCCAGCACAGTGTACCCCGTGTATACCCAGCACAGTGTACCCCCGGTATGCCCAGTACAGTGTGCCCCGGGTATACCCAGCACACTGTGCCCTGGGTATACCCAGTACAGTGTACCCCAGGGTATACCCAGTATTGAGTATGTTGTGTATACTGGGTATGTACTGATTGAAGATGTGCCAAGGACAGTTGATCCTGAGTGTACAGATTACAGTGTGCACCAGCTCTAACAGGCTATTGCTGTATGGTTGGCAATTACTTTTTTAAAAAGACTATAGAAACATAGATTCTTCATTTAATATCAATATTGTGACCTATTATAGATTTCGGGTGACTATATCTGACAATTTGTGATAATGCTGCCATTTACAATACTTACACCCTCACTGGAGGAGATAACTAATTGCAGCTTAGATGCTTCACTGATGAGAATCATCTTGCCTTTGACTTTTTGTTCCCTGTGTGTCTCCCTGAAACCCTGAGAATACCCGGAACATTCTGCCAACTGGAGGTTACCAGGTGCTTCCTCTTAAAGGCCCGGTTAAAACCCACGTTCCCCTCTGATGGATCAACAGTCAATAAGGTTTTAGTAAAATCAAGTCTTTTCTTCCCATTAATCTTCATTTCCAATCAGCAGTATCCAGTAAGTTCTGGATGATTAAATCATGCGAAGAATAGCAATAACATTAACAAAGCTGGCGTTGGGATTCATTAGGCAGAGTATAAATATATTTAATTAGTTCATTTGGTGGGTCTAGACTGATGGATTTAGTGAATGGCAGTGACCCAGGCAGGGGCATACTTTGAGGATATCGCAGGAGAGAGTGCTCACATGCAGATCTCTCCACCCGACTGTAAAACATTTACAATCCGTGATGTTCCCCAACCTTCCCCCAACTCCTCACGACACCAGATCCCAAGCCCCTAGCATCCTGCCGAATGTCTCGAGATCTGGGAGTGTGTCCTGTACCTAGTGAAACTGGAGACGAAACTACTACCTCACTGAACTAGGCATGGACAAGCAGTGAGCGTTTCCCCAGCTCTGCACCTTTGACAACTGGTAAAAATAAAGTCCAAAGAAAATGTAAAAATGTAAAACAAACCATGGATCATTTCCAACGCCCACTTGGTTTATCTATCAGATTATCAGCAGTTGATTAATCCAATACTGCCCAAGAAATGAGAATTATTTGGTAACACACCCTGAGCTCTTGTGAACCAGTAGATGGGGCTGTGGGACTGTAAATGTTCAGCCTGAGATCACACAGTCAAACACACGCAGCTTAGACAGGAGAATGAGATCAGAAAAATATTAACACAGAAAGTGCTGAAGAAAATCAGCCGCATCGATGGAGCGAGACACAGAGTGAATGTTCCACTGACCCATCTTCAGAGTTGTCCTGAAGAAAAAACACCCAGTTTAGAGTTCTCCATGGCAACACCTCAACCAATCACAGTCCACTTGCCAAATAATCAGCATTCTCCCTGCACCACGCAGTATAAATGTTGTTTTCCTTTTGTTTTGCATTCTTGCGAATGGTCCTGATGAGGCAAGATGGAAAAATTTGAAACAGATGTGTCTTTTCTCAGCAATCTTCAGTTTTGAGGTCTTCTGTTGCTTTAAATAATGAATATTATGAGATTTCAGCAAGTAATATTTGTAATTCAATTTAAGCATGACTGTCTCTGAGTAAATAACACATCTATCATGGGGAGATTTCTTAATCAACTTGGATGTATTTTTATCCCTTTCAGACACCCACCATAGCCCCAGCCCTCCCTTTCTCTGTAATACCTTCTAGCTCCTGAACCTGGTATCACAGTTTGGCCAATTCGGAGCTCCATGGGTCCAACCTGCTCCAAATTTTGTGGCTGCCAAAAGTCTGGAATTCCTGCCCGAGTGTCAGTGTCAAATCTTGCTGGATAATGTTTCTGTGTAACACCTGGAGATGGTTTTTGTTTGAAGAGTTTTTGAAAGAGTTTCCACATTTCTTCAGGCCCTGAGTTGTGCATTTGCAGAAGCGGATTTATAATTTGAGAAAAGGCATTGCCTGTGGTCTCCTTGGACTCTCAGTATCTGAAGTCAATCAATCAAACTCCTCAATGAAGGCCCATTCACTTATACAAAGGCTTTAAATGACAATTGGAGTCTCTGTATTTCCCTGAATGGAGAATATTCCAGGTTAATGCCTGGCAAAGTCAGAGAGAAGGATTTGATGCTTACTGTCCATTAGCCGCTCAGCACCAACTCAACCCTAATCCACCCCAACAATCCCACTCCCAAAATATCCATAGCTTCTGCTTCTCTGACAGATGCACACCCCAGTCTCAGGTTGACACCAGGAGCACATGAGGAGCATAAGGTCAAGGAGCAGTTCAGAAACAATGTGTTGTGAAATGGATGGGAAGGAGTGGTTCACTGATATAGTGCAGCGATGGGCAAGGGTGCGACAGTGCTGACGGATAAACATGGAGTCGAGGAAAGGCAGACAGCTCAGGCTAATACCAGTAAATGTCCTTCCTCCTCTGAGGGGCTTGTAAACCTACAGAAGAAATAAAAAATATTTACATCAGGCAATTCTACAATTTCACATCAGTCTTCAACTTTGCCTGATAGTAATGCTGAATAAAAAGGCTAGTATTCAGAACACTGTCAAAATAACATCCACAAAAATGAAAAAGGTCAGTGCTGAGGGAGCGCCGCACTGTCGGAGGGTCAGTGCTGAGGGAGCGCCGCACTGTCGGAGGGTCAGTGCTGAGGGAGTGGGCACTGTCGCAGGGTCAGTGCTGAGGGAGCGCCGCACTGTCGGA